AAAAAAGAGAGAACTTCTCTGTTGCAATCATTCTGAACTTTCTATGAATGGGTTTTTAGCACACTGTTTCAATTGAGAAAGAAGTAACAGCTAACACAGTCGTAAAGCATATAGTGAAAATACAAAACATCATCTGCAGCTATGAGATGGGGAGGCTTGTCTTGTAGTCTGGAAAGCATGGGGCTACACCAACATTGATTAGGCAATTCCCTATAGTGCAAAGAAGGTAGCTGCTGTGAAAGGGGAAGCCTAGGGAGTTGCAGCTATGCTGGTGAATACTGAAGGGAGAAAAAGCTATCTCCTGGACTGTGTCTTCGAAAAGCTTGGAGAATAAAGCCCAGTGAGCTGGAAGCTCCTGAAAGGCAGGAAACCATAACTAGGTTTGGGACTAGATGTCAGAATCTTAGTGAGAGAAAACTGTAAGATCTGTCTGGGAGATTAGACCAGGATAGAACAGAGCTCTGGGGATGAGAGAAAATGCCAGAGATAACTGGACTTTGTGTTATAAAATCATAGAAAGGTAGGATTGGAAGGGACTTTGAGCAGTCAAGTCCAGTCACCTGTGCCAAAACCTAGACCATCACGGACAAGTGTTTGTCCAACCTGTGGTTTTTTTTTTAAGTTTGCAGGGACTATAAACCCTTAGGCCTTGATCACCTCTACTTTAGGATATTCAGATTAATCTTTTCCCCTAACCATTTATTCTGAAGCAGCATACTATGGGGGTTTCTTGCTCCTATCTCAAAAGCATCTGGTACTGACCATTGTTAGACACTTAACTCCAGACTAGATGGAGTAATGTTCTGGCAACTGTCCTAAGACTGGACAATTGAATTCCAAATGTTGATTTTTAAAAGACCTGTAATATTGGGATCGAACACAGCACTAGCTGAGTATATTTTTACTCATGTTTGGTTTAGTTGAAACTTTACAATAGGCTAGGTGCTAAAGAAGTTAATAAATCAAGAAACGCATATCAATATCTAGATGTATTAGTAAATAGATAGAAAATGGATAACTGAATTCTTATGTTTTAGTTATTGAATTCAAAAAATATTTTGGATAACAGAATCCTAGAAATGTAGGGCTAAGAAGGGGCCTTGAAAAGTTATAAATTCCAGCTTCCTGCACTGTAGCAGGGTCAAGTAAATCTAGACCATCCTTGATTGGTTGCATCCAACCTTTTCTGAAAAATCTCCAATGATTGGGATTCTACAATCACCTTGGAACTCCAGAGCTTAATCATTATCGTTAGAAAGCATTTCCTAATATTTTACCCAAATCTTTCTTGCTGCAGATTACTTCCTTCAGTGGACACGTTGGGTATGTCTACACTACAGAGTTAGTTCGAACTAACTTAGTTCGAATTAGTTAATTCAAACTAAGCTAATTCGAACTAACGCGTCTAGAACTAAAAACTAGTTCGAATTAGCGTTTTGCTAATTTGAACTAGCATGTCCATATTGAGTGGACCCTGAACAGGGCTTAAGGATGGCCGGAAGCAGTGCCGGCAGGGCATCAGAGGAGGACTTAGAGCGTGGAGATGCTGTCTCAGGCTAGCCGAGGGCTGCGCTTAAAGGGACCCGACCCCCACCCCGGACAGACAGTTCTCAGGGGTGCCTCGCTTGAAAACCAGTCCTAGCTTGGAGTGCCCGGAGTGCCCACACTGGGCACATCACAGCACTCGGCCATCAGACCGGCTGCACTTGCCACAGTTTGCCATCTGGGGAGAAGGGGCAATTGGGGGGCTGCAGGAGAGCTTCCACCCCCAGAAACCCGCAGAGCCAGCCCAGTGCTCCCCATCGGGGGCTTGTACCCCATTCCTCCCTCACCTCCTTCCACTTACCCTTCACTAGCCCCCCTTCCTGATGTACAAAATAAAGATAACGTTTCTTCCAACATTGACTCTGTCTTTATTGAACAAAACTGGGGGAGACTGGGAAAAGGAGGGGGGAGAGGGGAAGAGAAAGGCTGGGAGAGGGGAGGGCAACTAACATGATCAGGGGTTGGGAACAGGTCCCAGATGAAGAGAGGCTACAGAGACGGGGACTGTTCAGCTTAGAAAAGAGGAGATGGAGCAGGGACAGGATAGAGGTCTCTAAAAGCAGGAGTGGGGTGGAGAGGGTGCATACAGAGGGGATGGGCTGGGGGACATCGGGTGGGTGGCTCTGTGCCGTGCCAGGTGCAAGGTCTGCTGGCTGGGTGCTGGCAGGCTTGCCCCTGGCACGGGCACCGTAGCCAGCCCGTGCCCCTTTAAGGGGTCCGGGGCCGGGAGGGGGGCAATAGAGTTTCCCTGGTGTTGGCCAGAGTGGCCACCAGGGAAACCTGGGGAGGGCTAGCTACACACCCCTTAATTCGAACTAGTAAGTTCAAACTAGGCTTAATCCTCGTAAAATGAGGTTTTCCTAGTTCGAACTAACATTGTAGTGTAGACATACCCAAAGATCAGTTTATCACAGTCCTCTTATAACAGCCCTTAACATATTTGAAGACTGATATCAGGTCCTCCCTCAGTCTTTGTTCCTGAAGACCGAACATGTCCATTTAAAAAAAAAAATCTTAACTCATAGGTCAGGTTTTCTATACCTAGAAAACTATAGTTTTCTGGGACCTTTTCAGTTTGTCCATGTCTTTTCTAAAGTGTAGTGCCCAAAACTGGACACAGTACCCGAGTGGAGGCCTTGCCAGTGCTAAGAAGAGCAGGACAATTACCAGCTGGGTCTTAACACCATTAACACAACTCAGAATGCTGTTTTCCCAGCTGTATCACTTTGTTGACTCTTATTCAGTTTGGGGTCATCTATGACTCCCTTTTCAGCAGTTCTGCCACTTATTTCCCATTTGTGATAGTGCATTTGATTTTTCCTTCCTGTGTGAAGTACTTTACACTTATCTTTATTAAATTTCATCTAATTGAATTCAGACCAATTCTCCATTTTGTCAAAGTCATTTTGAATTGTGATCCTGGCATCCAAAGTGGTTGCAACTCCTTTAAGCATGGTGTCATCTGCAACTTTTATAAGATACTCTCCGCTTTATTATTTCAGTCATTAATGAAAACATTGACTAGAACAAGACCCAAGACTGCCACCTTACGGGACCTCACTAGACAAGCCCTCCTAGTTTCATAGCATAGAATTGATAACTGCTCTTTGACTATTGTCTTTTAACTAGTTGTGCACCCACATTATAGTAAATTCATCATGAATTTACTATACTTGCTCCAGCTTGCTATTGAGAATTTCAAGTGGGACAGTGCCCAAAGCCTTCCTAAAATCAAAACGTATCACATCTTCTTTCCATGCATTCACTAGGTCAGTAACCCTGTCAAAGAAATATATAGCGCTAGAAGATTTATCCAGCATTGAGTCCTTAACCCAATTCTTTTTTTGAGAGGGGAGGAGGTTGGAAAATAAAATGAAAATGTACATGCTTCATTTAAATCATTGCTCTGAGGTGGGATTGGGGATGAGGGCTTCAGTATGCAGGCAGCCCTGGAGAGAGAGGACTAGCCCAGCAGCTTGGGGCAAGGTGAGAAGCGCCTCTCCATGGCTGCTGCAGCCACAGTGAGCACAGCCAGGGGGAGGGGTGCATGTTCCCTGCTGGGGCAGGTTCAGGCTCATTTGCCCTCTGCACTCACCTGCCAGAGTAAGGAATGCAGCAAACTGTGCCCTTTCCCCTTGCTCCCTGACAAAGGGGAACAGCCAGCAATGTTCCTGTATGAATCGGGGATGGGGGAGGGGAGTGTCAGCCCCTCCCTCCCTAAAGGGTTTCTTGGGGTTGGGATGCTCAAGGCTGGGGCAGTCTCCACCCGCAGCCAGCCCCTTTCACCTGCCTGGTGATTCTGACTCTTTTCTGTATGAGAAGCAATCCCATTCCGGGCACATCCCATTTTCCTGGCACAACCAAATCCTTGCCTTGTTTAAGTTATGATAAGAGGAAGCTGTATACCAAATTTGATTATCCTAGTTCTTACCATTTAGGAGGAGTTCTTGAATGGACAGACACAGACAAACAAACTCTCTCAAATATATAGTAGAGCTATGCATTTTTGTTCCTTGAGAAATGTGTATGTTTTTAAAAGTGAATCACATATGTGTGTGCTTTCTGTTTAATTTTTATAAAAATGTGGGGGGAGGGAGGGTGATGATGATGGGTTTTTTTTAAGCTGGGGAAAATCTCAAGCCTGCTGTTTTGTAGAAATATTTTAGTGTGTTTTCAGAGACAAAGATCAATCAGCTTCTTAAAATATAACACTTATTTTTGCTTATTTTTAGATTAACTTTCAACTAAACAAAAAAAAGAGAAAACAACTATAATCTCTCCAAGCATAATGTATAAGAGACTGGCTTTGTAACAGAAGCCATTTTTACCCAACTCACAAGATGTGGTCTACAGAGAAGCTAAGCAGTCCTCTTTACTCCTAGAGGTGCAATGCTGAGGCATCAGTCTTACGGCTACAACCCCCTCACTATTAAGCTTGTTTTCCTTTTCTTTGAGGGCCCCTGTGTGTCATTTTGGAAGGCCTAATGATGATCCCCCTTTTTTCCTGTTTTAATGTTGCTGTGAAGCCTTATTTTGTCACACACAGTCCTTCTAGTTGATGAAGAATGGAATGGCCTCCCTTCCAAACTTATCAAACTTCATTCTTTAGATGGGTTAAGTGTTGGAAAAGCATCACAAGTTGATTCCTTTTGCCTCATCCTTACCCCATGGGGGGCTGAGTGGCTTGCCTTTGCAACATGCCTGTTTTTCTTTTTCTAAGAGACTTTGCAGCAGTTGCAGGCTCAGTTGGCTGACTTAAACATAGGAAGATATAACAAGTAGACAATTACAGCAAACATTTCAGATTTTTTAAAAGATACAGTGCATGGAGTAGAATTATAAATCATTTTGCTTAAAAATTATATACACTCATATAGCACAAATAGCCTCCTGGCTTTTGCTTTAGCCCTGAACACCAGCAGCACAACCTGCAGTGGCAGCTATAGTGTCCTCTTGAAGAGGGCATTGGGTGCAAGCAAAATTTATGTTTCTCTGAGAACATAACGGTAGAGAGTTCACAGTGATAAAATGAAGAGCGTATAGGACTTTTCTTTAATGGATAAAGAAGTGGGAGGATAATGGAGTCATTTAACTGCCTCACATTGCTTGATGTATGAAGGTGGATTCATGAGTAGTTCCCATAACGTTTTGCTGGTGGTTTAGTACACAGCATCATTACCAAGAGAAAAGGCTAAAGAACTGCAGAGGACAGGACGCTGGGCTCGTTTTTTTTCTTCTGTTTTTAAGAAAAGCAAGTCTTTGATGAGGTATAGCTGCAGGCTATCGTTTTACTTTTTATGTCAGCTACCTTTTGTCAGCAACTCATTATTGATGCTGTACTCTGTTTTAATTCACACTTCTCTGCTAATCAATTACAGCGTTTATCCATTAATCAGGTATTCTGACAGGGTCAATAACTACTTTTCAGTTTTGTGGGCTGATGCATGTTATCAAGCAAATAGCAACAGTCAGTAGATTAGTTTGGAACAGTATTATTTTCACAGGCTGGTGAGCATCCAGAGGGATAAACATCTAATGAGGTTTTTGGTGATTATCCTGTTGTTGGACGCAGAATCAAAAACCTTAACTGCAGAACTCAACTTTCACTGGGGAGTGGGTGTGCAAGCATATCTTCCGTTTTATTTGATTGTCTGTCTGTTTAATCTCGATCTCTGTGTTTATATATCTTATAATGTGCCCACTCAACTATGTAATTTATAACAGACTCAGATGTGGTAAATTATCACAGGAATTAAAAGTTTTTCATTTTAGCAAGTGGTGTAGATAACAGAGGGGGCAACATTTAATTGGACAGTTACAGTTTTGGTAGTTAAGTTACCATCTATAAGATGGTAACAGGTTTCAATTATCTTTTTTATGACAGATGTACCAACATTTAATTGTTTCTCATCAAGTGTGGAAAGAAAAGACACTTCTGTAGATTTTTCAATTCTTCTACATGTCACTTAGCTGTCTGCACCATTGTTTGAGCTCCTTTCTCTCATCCTTTTTGCAGCAATGAGTTGTGTCATTCCCTCATGATCAGCACTTTTGTTGTCTTTGTTTTTTGCTGTACCTCAGAAGTCCATCTTTTCTTTCATCTCCTTCCCATTCATGCATGAGGGAACAGTTGTGCTCTGTTGTGGGGATGTTCCGCTGGATTTCAAACAGTAGGGTTTCTTTTTATTCTGTTCTAAGTAGTACAATAGGGCTGAATGTCTGTTGCAGAATGCACACACTAATATGCCAGGTTATTTGGTTTCTAAGAAGTCAATAAAAATGCTACATTTAGGCTCAGCACTTGGCTTGTTTTTGCTGTTTGCCTTTCAGTCTTCAGTTATAAATCTGTTTGTTTGTTTCTGATGGTAAAATATAATCCTCCATATTAAATCCAAGCATGGAATCAACAAACACTTAAGAAAAAATGTTACTGGCGTTTGAGTTTTTCACATTAGCCGATTTGGCATCATCCCTGATAGGGAAGTGAAAACTGCCGCCAGATCTAATTAATGAGGACTGTAACAAGAAGTGGGGGGGAGGGGAAGATGTGATCATGAGTTGGTCTTGGCAAAACTTTCCTATTTCTGAAGACGTAACAAGTCTTTGCATTTAGAAAGGTAGCTTTAATGAATTTAGTTTTGCAGGACTGTTTTTTTTATATGTGTACTTGTTTTATAAATACTCAAAAGCCTTCTCAATGGCAAAAGATATAAAAAGCTAGATATATCTTAAGACATTTTGTTCTCATATTCAGGAACAATCTTCAAAATCCTTCTTAATGAGGTCATAAAAGAAAAAAAATCGAACAAGTGGTACTTGTGTACCTCTCTAGGATGTGTCATCGAGGTCACTTGCCACTAGGTTATCCTATTTAAAAAGGGATTGGGATAGTTCAATCAAGCATTGCATTAAGAGAGAGACTTTGATTAATTCCTTCTCCTCTGTATTGTGCTATGGATAATTTCAGTAAATTTGTGGTACTTTCTTCTTAGTCAGTGTTGAGGCTTAAAGTTCTTGATGCATCATGCTGAGTATTAGCATTTATTGGTCCTATTTGGCTCTACTAAAGAGGAGAGTAGGCTGCAGACAGCCCTCTAATCTTTGACAAGTGAGGCCATTCTTTCAACATTACTGTTATCTCTGGTGATAGAGAGAAAATGTTTTGTTACAGGTTTGCTGCAGGACCAAATATTGCATGTAAAGGAAGGGGAAGAATAAACAGTAAGTAGGCTAATGATTTATTGCAAATTTTTTGAAAGTAGAAACTGCTTTTATTTAGAAGGTGAGAGTCTGGATAACTTTTTTGGTTTCTGTCACACTGGGACAGTTTACAGTGTTAAGCTGTAAACTTAACTTTTGACATAATGGAAAAATTAAAATACAGCAGAATAACGCAAGACTCATTATTATGGTTTTATTATTATTTCCTGTGTGACCTTAATTTTACTTAAAATGTATTCATTTTTAAAATTTTCTTTGTTTGATTTATTTCTTTTTTTAAATGAAAAAAGTATTTTGCAACAATTATAAAATATAGTGTACCTATAAGAGAAGGCTAGTTTCTTAGCAAAGCATGAACTTTTTAGGATTGTTATAAGTATTTTTAATGTTAAATATGCATATGTAAATTGTGAAAAATATCTTTTAAACGTTTGAAAAGTTACATATTGACTTTTTAAAATATACTTTGCTCTCTTTCAAAATGCTCATTTTGAAAACGTGTGGCAGTTACTCTGGAGACCCAAGGCCTATTGGGTGTACACATATTTAGGCACTATTTAAAAAGTGGATTTTTGACTTGATAGACCGTAACGACTCCCAGGGAGCCACTATGGTCATTGTGTAAATCCTTCTTAGTTTTTGGTTTACTCACTTGATATACCGTAACGACTCTTAGGGCCGTTATGGTCTATTGTGTTAAACCAGCTGCTGAGCATGCGTACAAAGCTTTTGTGCCTAAAAATCCTCAGGAAGTTTTGTTGGAAGAGTGGTATCCATGCACAGGATTGCTTCCTTCCTAACTGAAAAAAGTTGTGGCTTTTCTTCATTGCTTTATGACAATAGCCAAAAGCACTAATGCACATTACAGAAGAACAGACAGCCAAGCATCAGATTTTTAAAATGAGCTTCTTTGAAGTCATAGACATTAAAAAAATAATCTGAAATCACCATATTAAAAACATATTAATAACTTTAAAGGAGACATTCTGATTTTTACACCTAAAATCTCAGAGAGATTTTTTGACAACCGAGTTATTGACCCTTGAAAACAGGGAGTTGTAAGTGAAAGGCTGATGCAGTCGTAACTATAGCAACACTGACAATGTTGCTGTAATTGTTAATTTTTCTATTTACAGTAATTAAGAAGCCTTCCTTTTAAAAAAAACCCACATTTTTATTTCAAGCTGAAAGTATCACCATACAAATGTAGTATACGTAATTCTCAGGATGTTCTTAATATATCTGTTACAATGCCAATGAAAATACTTGGAAAAGTACTGAAGAGGGAAAGCACACATAAAATATTAAATATCACTTGATAGTAGGAATACAATAGCTCTTTTCAAAACACATATTTGAATCTATTTAGTAGATAGTTTAAACAATTGCTTTATACTGTCTTGAGCAAACTGAAAGTTATGTTTACGTATCTCATGTAATTTTCGGTCTAGATATAAGTGCATTGAAAGAGTGATATTCCTTCTTGCTAGAGTAGGTCCTTCCATTTATTTGGAGTTGATTTTTAGTGCATGGGAAGGGAATGGTTTAATTTATAAATGGTTTTGTTTTGACCATAGATTGGGTTGTTTGTGTGTGCCTTTTGCGCAGATATATTTCTTTGAAAGGCTAATTAGTGCTTAGGTTCCATGAAAATGAGCACTTTAAACATTCAGACCACCTCTGAACTGTGACACTGTCCCCAAATCCTTCCAGAAACCCACAAAAACTAGCTTACATTAAATACTGCTTCAGTTGAGGGACCCTTGGGAATTGAGGGTCCCTTGTGATGGCAGAATCTCAGCACATCGATGGCTGTCTCTTGTATACCAACATTTATTTTCTGAGAGAGTATTTTGGTTGCTGTTATAATTTTCTTTCTAAGCTTGACCAGTAGTGAAAAAACTGAAAGAATATTAATTGAAAAAACTTCAAAAGTTGAATGATTCCGGAAAATGTAGCTATTTCTATTAATGGATACCTCCTAGCTCATTTGGGAACATGACCAGGATATTGGCTTTCTTACCCCCAAAGGATTTTTTAAGGATTTTCTGTGGGTTGGTAAGATTAGAGAAAAAAGACCTTCACCTGGGATGTCTTTTGTGCTCAGGTTGATTACAGGACACTGTCTTAATTTTATGAGTCTAGATTTTTTTGTTCCAGTGCTGCTCATTTTAAGCCATTTTCCAACGGGAATGGTAAATACTTGTTTAATTTGAGCACAGCATGTATTTAAGTATAAAAGACAGTAGTTCTTCTCTACTCTTATTCTTTGGAATTGGAAATTTTTGTATCTAATCTATTTCTCTGTTTCAAATCAATGGTTAGTTGCTAAGCTTTCCTTGGCTAGTTTTTTAGATAATAGTTTTTGGTTTTGGTCAGCCATCTGTCTCTCTGTTAATTGTGCTTTTTCTACACCCAACCCGGAGTTTTGAGAAAATGGGCCTCGAGAGTTTTCTAGCTAAAATTGCCTTTATTCATTTCCTAGAGGTGAGTACTTATGCCATCATAAGTTTAACCATTTCATGGGCACAGTGCCGTATACCGTAAAGGAGGTCAGAATCAGTGGTTCTGCATCACAAGGGGATATAGAATCATAGAATCATATCATAGAACCATAGAGCTGGAAAAGACCTCAGAAGGTTATCAAGTCCAGCCCCCTACTCTAGGCAGGACCAATCCCAACTAAATCAACCCAGCCAGGGCTTTGTCCAGCTGAGACTTAAAAACCTCTAAGGATGGATATTCCACCACCTCCTTAGGTAACCCATTCCAGTGCTTCACTACCCTCCTAGTGAAATAGTTTTTCCTAATATCCAACCTAGACCTTTCCCACCACAACTTGAGACCATTGTTCTGCCATCTGTCACTACTGAGAACAGCCTTTCTCCATCCTCTTTGGAACCTCCCTTCAGGCAGTTGAAGACTGCTATCAAATCCCCCCTTACACTCTTCACTTCTGCAGACTAAACAGACCCAACTCCCTCAGCCTCTCCTCATAGGTCATATGCTCCAGCCCCCTAATCATTTTGGTTGCCCTCTGCTCGTC